TCAAACACAATGGCAGAAACAAGCGGCGAAATTTATCTGTCTGCTGAAGGTTTGATTTGTTAGATCTAGAATTTGGAAGTGAAGAGAAAGAGACGGGGTTTTGTGTACACATTGCCGTCGGCTTGGTTTATCTGGGCTTTGGTTTGCCGTTTTGGAAGTGACAGAAAGGTATGGGGGAGGGGAGACAGGGGAAGAAGGGTTTGAATTAAATATTAATGCGTTTATTTGATTGGATAGTAGTTTTGAAAAAGTAAGAGTGGGAGTAAATAACCGAAGGAATTTAAAAGTTAACAAAAATACTCATTAAATTTGATAATTTATTAAATACTTCTGTAATAAAAATATTAAAAATTATAAAAATACTCCCACTCATCCACTCATTAAATACTATCAGCTGGTCACCACCATTAGATATTCTATTTAACCATATTTTTAAACTTTTTAGGTTTGTTAATTTAACTAAACACTCCTTGTAATAAAACATTAAAAATTAATAAAAATACTCCCACCCACCCATTGAATACCGATAGTCGGCTACCAACGTTGGAGGGTGACCGAAATTCAGTGTAATGGTGCATGACTGACTAGATTTGGCCGATCGTGTGTCAATCTAGCATTTTTCAACTAGATCTATCATGGATTTAGTCAAAAAATATCAGAACAATCAAAGATCTAGCTGTTGACAGCTAGATCTTTGGCCATATCTAGTCATCAACAACAGTCAAGATATGACCGACGTTGATGACCAGATGTGTCCAGATCCATGGTGGATTTGGCCGAAAAAGGCTATATACACGACTAGTCAGATCCACCCAGTCGTACGCCATTACGGTGACTTCCGGCCACCCTCCAATAGTGGTGGCCTACATTTAATGGATGAATGAGAGTGTTTTTGTTAATTTTCAATGTTTTATTATAAAGGGTGTTTAGCTAAATTAACAAACCTAAAAGATGTTTTTGTTAATTTTTAAATCCTACCTTATAATAACAACTCAACCCAACTTTTTCAAAAACACTACTCAAAATAATAAACCAATCATAGTTGCAAGATCTATTTTATAAAGGTTAGATGGGATTAAGACCCAGGAAAACAAAAATCATTCTAGTAATTTTAGATTAAATATTAATAAAAATTAACAAACTTAGAGGTTTTAAAATAATTGAATAAAAATGTAATAGTGTTTCAGATAGGGAAACAAATGTGTATTGGAAATGATAGGAATAGGATAGGGGAAACCGTCAATTCGATCCTACCCAAATTCATATTGTCTCCCTATTCTCAAAATCCAATTATATACTCCACGTCAGCCCTTGATTTCCCAGGCATAACACTGGATAAGAAAGATATGTTTGGAGGAACAATGATAGAGTTCTCAAGGACCTATAATAAGCTTTGATAAAAGCTTTTAATAAAGAAAAGACCAGTTGTAAATTGGCTGTCTTTAACCCACCATTTTACAAAACTTTTTTTAAAGGAATTTGCCAACTCACTTGTTGTTACCATCTTCTGAAGCAAACTTTGTTTGGTATCTATCAATTTTTTTTATAAAACTGCCCTTTAGATATGTTGGTGAATACAAGAGAATCATTCAATCCAAATTGAATATATTATTATTCTAATTGTGTAGACTTATCCAGTTCACTCGGCATAATGTCTTTGTAAATAAAATACTCTGATAAATTAAGCAAACCCTTGATTTGTGTTTTGGGAGTTTGTTGGATTTGCATACATAGTGGCAATAGGTAAAGACATGAATTCTATTCAGGTATTGCCACATCAAAAGAAGAAGGATTTAAAAAAGAAAAAAGTGGTCAAGAAGCAACCAATGGGAACTTTGCATACCTAATTATAGCCCTCACAAAGTTAGGTTAGTATTTTATATCAACTTGTACATGAAGTAACAATTATAAGATAATGATGATAAGTTGGGAAAAAGTTGGTGTGTAAATGTAATTTTTTTTTTTTTTTAAATCAAGTTGTTCGAGTCTCAAACTTGCACATACCTCAACTAAACATCGGGATCTATTAAAGATCTTAAATAGTCACTTTATGAGACTCGAACACAAAACCTCTGAATCATTCGGAGTCTTACCATCCAACCAAACCTAAGTGATTAGTTGGTGTGTATATGTTGATCAGTCAAACCTAAGTGGTTAGAGGACAAAATAAGTATTCCTGATAAGTTTGTCATATTGTGTCTCCTTATTCAACTTCTCTGAGGATCCTTGGCTTAAACCAAAAAGAGAAACAAGCAAGAGGGACCCAAGTTAGCATATATTGGTAAAAATGCCTGAATGTTGCAAGATAAGAATGATGCACTTTACTCATTAGCCTGGCAGGCAGGCTATCAAAGCATCATTTTCTCAACAATTATTGCGAAGACTAGTGGATCAAAGAATAACACTCATTTGATTTGAATAACCTAATGCCTCCTCGAGCTTTGAAGTTAAGGACTGGACTAATTTTTTGGGGTTTAAAGTTAACGATTAACGATCGGATAAACCTTCTAGTGATCACCTTTATTAACAATTAAAGAGAATCGAACTCTGAATCCTTTAACAATTGAACTCTAAATCTTTTAAGTAATACATCTCAAAATTTCGATAATGAAGCTCAATTACCCTAAACGGTTATGATTATATACTTTATTGATCCATTACACATAAAACAGGCATATAAAAGATTTGACATATCTTTCTGATTGATCATTGCACTTATCTGTCTGAACTTCAATGATTAGGCACTGGCATATCAACAATCAACACACATCACAAGAACTAACATTATATATATATGTATGGCATACATTTTCTACTCTTATGTCCTCAAAATCACGAAAAAACGAAAAAAACTTACCATTTAAATTCAGTCTCGCTGCTCTCAGTTGACACAAAAATGCAGAGAATGTCTCCTCTCTCTCCTAAAGAAGCAACTCACATGTATTTTACTCTGAAACCATTTTATTTCATCAAAATCATTGTATTTAGATTCGCTTTTTAAGCTAAATTAATGAGATCTCGTTCAAGGGTACATAAAATTGCATTTAAAGTTGTTTCATTAGAATCAGTAAACGGTTATTTGTTCATGAAGTTGTGGTTATAGTATTGTGGTGGAAGAAGATAGTGGCCGGAGAATCAAACACAATGGCAGAAACAAGCGGCGAAATTTATCTGTATGCTCAAGGTTTGATTTGTTAGATCTAGATTTTGGAAGTGAAGAGAAAGAGACGGGGTTTTGTGTACACATTGCCGTCGGTTTGGTTTATCTGGGTTTTGGTTTGCCATTTTGGAAGTGACAGAAAGGTATGGGGGAGGGGAGACAGGGGAAGAAGGGTTTGCATTAAATATTAATGCGTTTATTTTTGAAAAAAAAAGAGTAGAGGATAATAAGGAGGTAGAATTTAAAAATTAACAAAAACACTCGTTAAGATTGTTAATTTATTAAACACTCATATAATAAAAGTATTAAAAATTACAAAAATACCCTCATTTACGCACTCATTAAATACTCACAACTGGTCACCACCGTCGGAGGGTGGCCGAAGTCATCGTATCGACGCATGATCGGTTGGATCTGGTTGTTATAGCCAATCTGTCCTTTTCTGACAAGATCTATTGTGGATCTAGCCAAAAAAGGCTATATCGATGCACTATCAGCCAGATCCAGCCGACAGTGTGTCATTATTCCATATTCCGACCACCATCTAACGGTGGTGGCTAGAATCTAGCAAATATAGGTGGATGGTGGAGGTGTTTTTGTTAATTTTTAAACTTTTTTTTTAGGCTATTTAGTTAAATTAACAAACTTAGAGGTTTTAAAATAATTGAATAAAATGTAATAGTGTTTCAGATAGGGAAACAAATGTGTATTTTGGAAATGATAGGAATAGGATAGGGGAAACCTGTCATATTTCGATCCTACCCAAAATTCATATTTGTCTCCCTATTCTCAAAATCCAATTATATTCTATTTAACCATATTTTAAACTTTTTAGGTTTGTTAATTTAGCTAAGCACCTCCTATAATAAAACATTAAAAATTAACAAAAACATCCACACCCACCCATTGAATGCCAACAGTCGGCTACCACTGCTGGAGGGTAGCCGAAAGTCAGTGTAATGGTGCATGACTTACTGGATTTGACCGATCATGTACCGATCTAGCCTTTTTAAGCTAGATCCATCATGGATCTAATCGAAAAATGTCAGATCTACAACCAAAGATCTTGCTGTTGACAACTAAATCTTTGGCTACATCTAGTCATCAACAACAGCCAAGATATGGCTGATGCTGACGACCAGATATGGCCAGATCCATGGTAGATTTGGCCGAAAAAGGCTATATCAACGCACAACTGGTCAGATTTACCCAATCGTACGCCATTACAATGACTTCCGGCCATCCTCCAATAGTGGTGGCCGGCATTTAATGGATGAGTGAGAGTGTTTTTGTTAATTTTCAATGTTTTATTATAGGGGGTGTTTAGCTAAATTAACAAACTTAAAAGATGTTTTGTTAATTTTCAAATTCTATCTTGTAATAACAACCCAACTCAACTTTTTTAAAAATACTACTCAAAATAATAAACCAATCATAGCTGCCAGATCTATTTTATAAAGGTTAGATGGGCTTAAGACCTAGGAAAACAAAAATCATTCTAGTAATTTTAGATTAAATATTAATAAAATTTAAGACAAATATTTAATGATAATGAATATTTAATTTTTTTTATATAAATTAAGTATTAAAAAAAAAAGAATTAAGGTAAAATTCAGTATAAAAATAATTTAATTAAATAATAAAATTAATACAAACTATAATTAAAACAAATTCGGTCAAACTGTTGAAAGAGTTTTTATTTTTCACCTTTTCAAATACTATTTTCAGAAAAATATGTCAAAAGCGTTTTCATTTTTTTATTTTCCAATCAATTCTAATATTATGAAAAAATAGATTAAAAATCACAAAATTCACGACAGATCTCACGAACAATCTGACACTTTCAATCTCTTCGGTCCTCGTTCGTCTTCCCGTTCCTCCTCAATAGCAACTGCAACTCCATCTTCTACTGGATTCTCTCTGTCTTGAGAACGCAACAAACGAAATCCACACTTCTTCACCTCGCAAGCATCTATGCATTTTCCGTTTGAATCCTTTACATAAAATTGGATGGTCATCTTGTCATTGTTACAGGTTCTTGCATCATACTTGAGGAAATCATAACCAAGGAATACATGATCCTTGGTAACGTTTCGGGGGCCAGCTTTACATTCCCAACCCTTCAAGCTGCCATTGTGAAATACGGTTGTGCCATCTCTACATTCATAGAGAATATCCAATCCCTCGCCCTTATTTTCATAGTTACCAAATTCTACAATAGCGCTGACAGCGAAACTGACAAAAGACCAATTCCACAGACTTTGTGGTAGCTTGAAAGTTATAGAAGATCCGTTATTTTGATGACTAAATTTAAAACACTCCGAGATTTCAGTTCCAGGGAAACAGATACAAGCTCGTATTTGACAACGATGTTTCTATGCCAATAAATCATCAATTTAACTCATTAGACACTTTTATTTTTTTTGAAGAAGATGAAATTAATAATATCGTATAAATAAGTGAGAGAGACTTTACCTCAATGCCGTATAGAACACCTTTTATAATGTCTTGAAGTGCTTTTTGATCCAGATTGAAAGAGTTGCTGAAGTTAATTTTCACGGATTCCTTGGTTGGGCCTAGAATAATCGACAAGACGGATGATGCTTCCAATAATTTGCAGTTGTGTGCATCTATTGACTCTAAACTACTTGGAAGCTGTGGTAAGAATTGAAGCTTCTGGCAGTTTCCTAAGTCAAGATGCAATAACTTAGAAAGGTCTTCAAAGCTCAATGGAATGTTCTCAACCTCTCCTGAGTCGTCAGATAATCCATCAAGTTTGGAACAGCCTGAGAGAAGAAGATGTTCAAGAGATTCCAGTTCAGAAATATTTCTCGGGAGACTCTTAAGGCTTTTGCAGTGCCTCAGACTCAAGAAAACAAGCTTCTTGAGGTGTTCAATTGTTGGGGAAATTGTATTCAATCCGGTACACCCTTCTAGAATCAAGCTCTCCAGATTTGGGAAGAATGAAAAATCTGAGATTTCAACTAAGTGCTTGGAGTGACTGAGATTAATGTGTTTTAGTTTTTCAAAACGCTGTGATCAAAACAATAAAAATAAGAACAATAAGAAATACGTTAATTAACATGTTATGTTGAAAAAGTTAAAAAAAAAAAGTTATCTCCTTATAAGTATCAAAATGTATACCTTATTGTCAGTCCACAATCTTGTCACTTCGCTATGAGGCATGTCAAGCGCAACAAGGTTTTCGGTATCAAAATTTTTCTCCAATGAATCCAAAGTGCAGCCATACCAGCAAAGGTACCTTAGCTCAGTGAAAACAAAGCTAAGGTCTTTGGAAACAAGCACCCTCTTAACATTATTCTGCTCATAGTGTGAGTCATGTACTTTGAAGAATCTCAAGTCATGCATCTTTCCAAACCCTTTAGCTTTAAAAGGAGTCCTTTGAGACATGTCCAAACATATGCCTTTAACGTATTCAGTTCCCTAATGAACCAAAAAATAAAAAAATAAAAAAAATGATAAGTTGACATCAAATATTAAAATCATACACTCATTTGCACAATAGAAAAGTTCTAAGATAATTTATTACTAGATATACATAAGTTAAATTCTTACCGCATTGTTTTTCAGTACATAAGAGACATCCTTATGGTCCCACAAACGGCTGCGCTCTGCACGACATCTAGACCCTTCACGAACAATTTCCCAAGCCATTACTTGTAACACATCATTCACTGATATCTTCTTGTCTGGTGTAATGCTTATAAGACACTTATTAATGAGATCATCTAAGTCGCTTGTGCTCTTAAACTCATAATAATTGGCATCCAAGTAATTTATTACAAAATCTGTACTTTCCCCTTTAAAGAAACATGCAATATCTAGAAATTGATCCTTCAGATAAGTAGCACGTAATTCATCATAACTGACTTTTAGCTTCTCTTGGATTTCTCGGAGAAGATTTGCTTGTAGTTTATCTATTGCACTTGCCCAAACATCCAGTTTATCTTTTGCACTTTCCCAAACATCTAATTTGTGGTATAAAAATTTGCCAAATTCTTTTAGAACCAATGGAATACCTTGAGCATATTCTACTACCCTCTTTGATAGATCCTGATGATTTGAATCGGGTTCTGTTTTCTTAAAGGCATACCAACTGAAAAGCTGAAGAGCTTCAGGATCTGATAATCCTTTAACCTCGTATATATTTTCGAAAGGCACACCATAACATTGAAGCACTTCTTTATCTCTTGTGGTTATAATAATTCGACTTCCTGGACCCAAGCGATCTACAAATTCTCCAATTAGAGATTCTATTTGTTCTATCAAAGTGACATCATCTAAAACAATAAGAACTTTTTCGTTATCACGCTTTCGCTTTGTGAAGGTCCTTTGATTTAGATTCATTGATGTTTCCCTAACATTTTCATAGAAGAAATGACTGCCAAACTGATTTTGGATTTTATTAAATACTACTTTAGCAATAGTTGTCTTTCCTATACCACCCATTCCCCATATTCCAATACTAATGGTCTCTTCTGATCCCATGCGAAGTAAAGATTCAACTTCTGTGATGCTACGTTCCACTCCAACTATTAACCCCTTATCTTCACTCGGGAACATATGATCCAATCTCTCCAAAATATTGTTGACAATTTCTTCTACAAGTTGAGCTTCGTTGCTAGCATATATGGAAAACAAAGAATAACAAAGTATGAATCAACCGAAAAATAGAAAAAATAATTTTAATTCCCAATAGATGATTTAATGAAGATTAAACAATATAACAGCTTAATTAATTGAATCTATGAAGTAAATGCATATTCTTAACAATATAAACGTTTGTTTGAAGGAAATACTAAATATCATAACGCTGAAAGTTACAGTACACGAAACAAGAATGGAATCCATGTAGTGGATAGTGATGAATAATTCCAATAATCAAGTTCAATTAAAGAATTAAATTATTATCTACAATCAAATCATTGGCTCTTTTAAGATACTGTAAACTTTATATTGGTTAGGGCCAGGTAAATCTTTACACAAGTAGTTAACCCAACATGAATGATTTAACTAGTACTAGATGGTTAAGTAGTCAACTAAAATTATTAAGTGTATTAATCAAGAGGTCTTGAGTTTGATTTACCTTAACCCCTAATAAGGGTAATCACTATGACCCGTTTGCCTAATCATTAACTTTAGGGACCTGAAGGATTAGTAAGCTGGTCGGACGCCCCGATCAACAAAAAAAAAATCATCTTAATTAAATAAATGGACAAAAATAAATAATATCTTGTTTGTTTGGGCTCGGGCTATTACAAGAATGAAAATGCATCAATCCTTTGTTTGTAAACTAGGAATATCAAGGGAAGTGATTTTTAGCCACCACTATTTTCCTCTTAAGCCTCCATCTTCAATTTGAAGCGAGGATATAATTGTAATAAAATAAATTATTCTTCTTTCTCTTACTTTTACTTCAAATATTTACTTTTATGGTTCTTAAAAAAATAAATAAATAAATAAAAGCATCCGGTTTAGATTACGTAAAAAAATATAAAGTGCTCAATTTTTTTATATTTATAGTTTATACTCAATAATCGAACCCTTCAAGTTTGGATAATATAATTAATAGATGCATTGTCAGAATGTTATCTGCCTAACAAAAGGTTTGACTTAAATTTTTAATCGTGGATTCCATACAATCCAATGGTTTAGGAATTACTAAGATGATAAACATAATAACTACCTCCAAACACTTTCTCACATCTGTAAATTATCAAAGTTTAAAACTTTATATATAAGTAAAAAAATTAAGATAAAAATCACGTCCCATGATAAAAATAACAGAAACCACAACGAGAATTAACACTAAGTAACAGTTACCTTGTGGTTTTTGTATCATGTCCAGATATATTTGCCGCTTCGGTCAAAGCAGCTCGCCATTTCTTCACATTTTCTCTCAATCTCTGCTCATTCTGCCATTTTTTTCTATATTTTTCCTCGAGCTCTGCTAATGCCTGCCTATAAGTCTCACTTTGATTCCTTACATCTGTTGGATCTACGTGATAGAAAACCGGTAATAAGATCTGCCTGTTTGTAGGTCTATTTTTGCATTCAACGATCTTCACAAGTTCATCAAGACACCATGCGGAAGATGCATAACCATTGGAGAAGATAACGACTGAAATCGTTGACTTTTCAATTGCATCGAGGAGTAATGGTTTAATTTCATCTCCCTCCCGTAGTTCTGTATCCATGAAAGTAGCGACATTTTTCCGAAGCAGAGCTGCATAAAGATGGCTGGCAAAACCCTGCCGGGTATCTTCACCCCTAAAACTGATGAAAACTTCATACTTCACTGGAGTATTAGTCACTGACGAAGATGAAGCCATTAACTTCTACCACGTTGGCAATAGAGATTTAACCCAGATTTTGACTCGGCCGTCGTGAAACTGAAGGCTGGCGGCAATTTGAGACAGTGTTCAGATCAGCAGAGAGATACTGCTAAAAGATCAGAGTCTTTTTCGTATATTACAATTTACAACACCACCTGCAATGAAAGTTTCAAGTCAACAGTCAATTGTTGTATAGATGAAATTACATGTGTATCCCTAATGTTTAATATAAAAAATATATGTCCCTGTTATTAGATAGAAAATAATCACAAGGTTCCCCAACATGTGATTGTATTTGAAAAAGATATTATTATTAAGAACATTATACACATAAGTAAGGACATATTACGTCTACAATCAATTTAATATTTTAATGCTAATATCACCTTCAAATTAATCCATTTTCAATAAAAATAATAACTTAGAAAAGAAACTATAAAATTATAAGTTCTTCAATATTCATTTTATCAAATAAGGAAAATCTATAATCCTAAACCATATACATCCTCATAACATTTTCTAAATAAATATAATTTTTAATAGAAGAATATCATTAACTACCTTTAGGGTGCGTTTGGTTAGGGGTGATCTCTCGTTACTCCAGTAATAACATCTTATATTATTGTCAAGGGGCGCTTGGTTAGGGCCTTTGGAAGATTACTCCGATAATTTATCTTTTAATTCAATCATTACCTTGGTTCAATAGGTAATAAAAGATTTTGATACTCTTTTATTACTAAGGTAATATGAGAGGTGATATAAGGTGCATTTGGATCGGAGGCATATAAGATAACATAGGTAATCTTCGTTTATTTTGTAATATTTTGATGTTTGGTTTGGAAGTAATAAAATTTACAAGTATCTTTTATTCCAAATAATGTTTACTGTTGATAATGTAGGGGGTAATCTGATACTCTTCCACACCCTTGAGATTAAAAGATTATCAAGTAATCTGATTCTTATACCTATTTTGCCCTTAATTAAATACCATTTCAAATACAGTTGCTCTCAAATGTCTACTAAATAACAATTACTCAGCTCCCCTACATTTGAGAAATTAGCTAAAACACCCCAACTACAAAAAAAAAAGTTTAAAAGTTAACAAAATACCCCCAGCCACTGAAGACCACTGCCGGCCGTTACTTACCACCACTGGTCGCCTGCGTCAATCGCCATAATGGTGCATGACCGGCAAGATCTGGCTAATTGTGCGCCAATAGGCTTTTTTCGATAGGAAACAACAAGATTTTGCTGTTTATATGGCTGTTTCAAGACCACATCTTTGGCCGTGAAATGGCCATGGATGAAAACAACTTTGCCGGTGCACGACCAACCATATACGACCAGTTGTGTGTCATTCCATCAACTACTGGCGGCGGCCGACAGTGGTGGCTAATTGCTGACAGTGGCTTGGGGTGGGTGGGAGTGATTTTTCTACAAATTAAAGTTTTATATGGTTGGAGTGTTTTAGCAAAATTTCAAATGTAGAAGGTTAAAAGAAATGATTCAAAAAATAATAATAATAAATAATATTATATTTAATATTTAAAAATATAGGCAATTTAGTAATCTATATAACATACTCACTCATTTATCTTTCAAACTAAACATATTATTCATCAATTTATTCGAACCAACCAAACACATTTTCTAAACATTCCTAGTAATCTTCAAAGTGATATATCTTTCTGTTAATATAATATCCTCTTATAATAAAACGTTATGTGATCCAAAAGCCCCCATAGGGGATTATGTGATTACCGACTCAAGTGGTGGTATTTTAAGATTACCGTGGTACTCCTGTTTTTGTTCCAGTTTTACCCTTAATAAAATTCCAAACACAAATGCCCTATATATATATATATATGTCTGATTAGGAAGAATAAAATATCATCGACAGAGACTTTTACTAAATTGCTCTTACTTTTTAATATAATAATAATGATGATGATGATGATGATGATAATTATTATTATTTAAATAAATTCCTTTAACCCCCTTATATTTGAGAATTTAGCTAAAACACCCCCAACAACAAAGTTTAAATTTTGACAAAATACCCCCAGTCACCCAACACCACTGACGTCATTCACCAAAATGACGCACGACCGATGAAATCAAGCTAGTCGTGCGTCGTTTTGGCTATTTTTGGCCATATCGAAGGTCGAAAACAGCTAGATCACTATGGATCTAGCCAAAAACAGCCACAAATGGCTAATCTATTTTGACCGCTCCTGGTCAAATCCACAGCGATCTGGCCTTTTTTTGCCTTCAATCTGGCTAAAAATAGCCAAATCGGCACACGGCCGACCAGATCCCGCCCGTTGTGCGTCAATATGGCGACTATTGCCCGTGACCAATGGTGGTGGCTAGCGGCTGGCGATGGTGTTTGGTGGTTGGGGGTATTTTGTTAACTTTTAAATTTTTCAGGTTGAGGTGTTTTAGCTAAATTCTAAAGTGTAGGGGGTTTAGGTTATTGTTATTTGGTAGCTAAATTCTCTCATTTTTTCTAATCTCTATTGAAATCTCTCAATTATTCTCTTTGTTGTCAATTTGATCTCATTTTAATTTTTATTAGTTTTTACAATTTTCAATTCATATTTCCAAATTTCAATTCTCCTTCTTTAATTTTTTATTTCTTCTATATCAATTTTTTTTTTTTTTTTTTTTTAACTATAATGGATAGATATTTCCATCCCATCGATTTCAATGATGAGGAAACTATCTTAGTGCCCCTGAATTTACTAACATAAATGCAGTAGATTCAAATAGTCCCGCTTTCCCAGTCTCAGAATCCGATACACCTCATAATATTCCCTCGATTCCTCCCCATGCTGCTATAGCTCTCGGTGTTTCTACAAGTCGTCCTCGTCCAACTTCATCTCAAGCAGAAGTGAGTTCATCAATTGCTGTTGAAACCGACGACAGGCACACATCAGACGTTTGGGTGCATTTCAATAAGTTTTACGAGACAGAAAATGGAGTCTAAGTGAAGAAAACAAGATGCAAGTATTGTGAAAATATTTATAAAGCTGATTTAGGTAATGGTACTAGTAATTTAAAAAGGCTTGCTAATAAACAAATTACTCAACATGGAAATAAAGAAACCAATCAAACTCAAATAACTAATATGGGAACTACTTGACGTTATAATTCTGATGTATATAGGGAACAATTAGCTTTATATATTGCTGTAACTGATCAACCTATTGATATGGCTGAAGATAAATATTTTGAAAGATTTTTTAAAAATTCATTTTTTCCAGGATTTAAAGTTATTCTAAAACTGCAACTAGAAATGATTTAATAAATTGTTTGGGAAAATGAAATTAGAATTAAAAAATAAAATACATAATTGTTATGTTAGTGTGGCTCTAACCGTCGATATTTGAAATGGTAAACAAGATTATATTTGTGTGACTAGTCATTATTTTGATAACGAATGTAAATTAAATAAATCTTTATTAAGATTTAGATTAATGGATATGGATCATAGTAGTCAACAAATTTATAATAAAATTGTTGAAGTTTTAGAAGATTATGATGTTGTTAATAAAGTGATAAGTTTAACTTTAGATAATGCAAGTGCTCATAGTACAGCTATAGATTTTTTTTTAAATTAATTTTTCTTTTTATGACAATTCAAAGTTTTTTCACCAACACTGTGCATGTCACATTATTAATTTAATTATGAAAAGTGGTATTGAAAAAATTAGAAATAATATTGATAGAATTATAGATTATTTAGCTTTGATTACTAGTAGTAATAAAAGAAATACTCAATTTCAAGATGCTTGTATAAAATCAAATATGTCTCCTAGAATTTTTGTATTAGACATGCCTGTTAGATGAAATAGTACTTATTTAATGCTTGATTCATGTTTACTTTATGCAAATTTAATTAGTTATTTTGTAGTAAATAATCGAGGTCCTCATTATTTGGTAAAAAACGATTGGCATATAACTAAAAAATTTCATTATTTTCTTAAATTTTTTTACCAATCCACTTTACAACTTTTTGGTATGTATTATCCTACTAGTCCATTGTTAATACATACAATTATAAAAATTTTAGATTTATTTAGAAAAAAACAAAAACAATGAAATTTTAGCAGGACCAATACAGACAATGGAAATTTTTTTTTTTTTAAAAAAAATATTGGAAACCCATTCATTTTCTTTATTGTTTAGGTGCTATATTTGATCCTAGAATTAAAGTCAGGCTTAAAAAATGGTTTAGACACATTAACTGAAAATTTACAAAACGAAGCATATGTCAATCAACTAGGAGAGATAAGAGAGTGTCTTGCAGAGGTATATTTGCAATATAAAAATAGGTATGGGAACCAGCAAAGAGGCGAAATACCCGGGGAAGTTGCATAAGAAGAAACAAATAAAAACTTCAACTCCTGTAGTGCACTTAATAGGCCGAAGAGGACCCGAACCCAAAGCATAACCTCCTCTTTAGAAGCACCAATAACGAATGTACTGTCCTCCATGCAGTTACATAGTAATGAGCTTCACCAATATTTGGAAACCCCCGAAATGTTAGCAGCAGATCCACAACAAAGAGCCAACTTTGATGTCTTAGAATATTAGAAAAACAGAAAATGTATTTTTCCAGTATTATCAAGACTTGTCTTGCATATTTTCTCTGTTCCTGTCTCAACCATCTCATCCGAACAAACATTTAGTGCAAGTGGAAGAATTTTAAATAAAATGAGGACTAAACTTTCACAAAAAATGATTGAAGTCCTCACATGTCTTCAAAATTGGGAACGATCGCACCATCAGGATCAATACGAGGTTGTCAACGATACTTTAATAAAATTATTTCAATTTTGTAATATAGATAATATGGATGAGGGAGGCTCTAGTCAACCCTCAAATTAGTTGTTTTGTAAATCGTAACTTATAAATTAATTGTCAATTATTGCACTCTTTTTTCCTTACCACGTTTTTGTCTCATTGGGTATTTCTTGGTAAGGTTTTTAACGAGGCAATAATTGTTGTAATTTCTTATTTTATTTTTTGATAAATGAATTATATTACAATTTTATTGTATTAAAATTGAATTAATATTTAAA